AATCCTACCTCACAAAAGCTGGTGCAAATCAAGGAAGGCAGGGACACACACACACACACACACACACACACACACATCTACACAGAGGCTGGCAGGGGACACATGAGTTGGCACCTGGCAGGAGTCCTGTGTCAGGGCCTCTCACTCGCTGGGTGACTGGACAAGCAGCATGTTCCCAGGCCCTGCTGTGCGAACGTCTACGTGGCAGAGCAGCGAGGACGAAGACACTCTCTGGTGAGGAGACCATGGCCGGCCAGGGGAGGCAGCTGTCGCCTGGGCCAGCACGGGCCCCCATAAGGCAGCGTGGGAAACAACACTCAGACCCTAACCAGTGTGGCTCAGTGGATAGAGCATCGGCTGGGGACTCAAGGGTCCCAGGTTCGATTCTGGTCAGGAGCATGTGCCTGGGTTGTGCGCTCAGTCCAAAGTGCAAGGAAGCAGCCAACCAATGATTCCCTCTCATCATGGATGTTCCTATCTCCCTTCCTTTCCGAAATCAATAAAAATGTATTTTTTTTAAAACGGGGTGCCTCCCAACCACCAGCTGCAAGGATGACACCGCGCACTGTGAGCGCCTCAAAGGGCTGGGCTGGAGCCGTGGACACGCGGCTGTTTCGAGGGCTCCCTCAGACTCTCTGGGAAGCCAGGCCACGCCAGGCCGCGCCAGGCCACGCCAGGCCACGCCAGGCCACGCCAGGCGGAGGTGGGCCTGGCCCTGCCCTCGGGGAAGCTCGAAGAGTTGAAGCAATCACCCCACAGATCAAGGCCAGATTGAAGAAAGGGCAAGGCCACAGGGTAAAAGTGCCAGCCCCTGCGGGGGGAGCAGGGAGCAGGGAGGAGGGGCGCAGCGGGGAGTAGGGGGAGGCAGGTCGTGGCATAGGCCAGCTCCTCCCTCCCCAACTCCCTGATCAGTGATGATGCATGTTGATCACTTAAGATTGATCATAGTAGAAATATTTACAAATATTTATAGATTGGGGCCCTTGTTCCCTCCAGAGACTCTGTCACTTAATGTTTACCAGCACGCAGTGTGTCTGCGTGAAGGATGACAGGAGAGTTCAGTAGAGGGGAAGAATCCAGGCAGAGAGAACAGCATTTGCAAAAGCCACGAAGTGGGAAATGGGCAGAAGACAGGGTGCGTTCCACAACGTGGCTGGAGTGGGGAAAGGAAGAGGGTCGGGCCGGGCCTGGGTGGGGAGGTAGGTCGTGGGTGTGCCACACGGGCCCGGGCACAGGTGGGCATTCCAGCAGGGAGCTCTGGGAGGGTCCGAGCCCAGAGGACATAGCCAGGTCAGTCAGGGCCCAGGAGGAACCCCGTCAGGACCACCTATTCTCTGTGCTGCTGGGGGCCAGACCCACAGCGCCCCTTCCTGCCTCCTCCCCATGCCCTCCCCATGCCCTCCCCTGCCCATCACAGCTCACTGACCAATCACAGGGCCAGAGTTTAGCTGGCTCCAGGGGAGGTCCCGCCACTCCGAGCAGGAGGGCAAGGAGGCACCCCCTCTCTTCTGTGGAACCTCGGGGCTGGGTGGGCACACACAGGCACCGCCAGCAGCCTGCCTGGAAGAGGGGGCAGGGACAGGGGCGCGAGAGAATGGCCCCGTGGCCAGCCTGCTCTCCCCCACCAGCCACCTCCCCATGGCAGGGTGAGAACCGTCCGCACCCCCAGAACGAGGAGCAGAGGCTCGGCCAGTTCTGGTCTGGATCTCACCGCTCTGCCGTCGACACATCCCCAGCCAAGTTCTTCCCTGAGCAAATAGTCCAGCCCGTGCCAGCAGCCTTACTTCCTTGTTTTCCTTTGCTTATTTGAACTGCTTTGCACTATTCGTGCGCCCTATTTTTGTAAGTCAAGAACAAAAACAAAATCACAAAGCTACTTGTTTTTGAAAAGACAAATCCGAAGCCTGCCTTTGGCCATACCTGGCTTGGGTTCTGATCTCAGCCAGACAGACTGCCGCTGGCTCTGCCCTGCCCGCCTGGTGCAGGAAGCCGCGGCCCCACCTGGGAGGGGCTGCCGGGGACCCCCTCTGGCTAGGGCACGGAGCCCCGGGAGCAGGTCCCCACCCAGGCAGGCAGGAGCGCTGGTCCTGGCTCTGAGAGTGGGATCTCTATCGGGCATCCATTTGCCCTGGCAGCTTGGCAGGGGCACAGCAGACACCGGGGTGGGACACAGCAGATGCCTGGGCGGGGCGGCGGCTCGCCCGGAGCAGAAGGCTGCCTGAACACAGCCTGGCCTCTGTGACCTCCCAGCTGTGTGGCCTAGTCAAGTCGCTTCCCCTCTCTGAGCCTCATGCCACTGCCAGTTCTGTAAAGAGATGCTGGCTGGCAAGTTACCCAGAAGCCATCGCTCCAGCTGGAGATGGCACAGGTGGTCCCTGTCCTGGGGAAAAACATGGGCCTGACCGCAGGAGGTAACAGCTGTCCTGAAGGTAACTTAGCTTTCCCTCCATTTCACCTGCTCAGCATCTCTGAAAGGAAAGCATTTACCACGAATCCCTTTTAACGCCGATAAGCCCCAATTTCCTCATCTGTATATTGGCTTGCCCGAGGTTGAGTCCTTGCCAGGAGATCACGGCACAGCCATGCCCTAGAATCTATGTGGTCGGCAAACTCATCAGTCCACAGAGCCGAACATCAACAGGACGACAATTGGAATTTCTTCGGAGAACCACATTTTTTTAAACGTAAACTTCTTCTAACGCCACTTCTTCAACACAGACTCGCCCAGGCCATGGTATTTTGTGGAAGAGCCACACGCAAGGGGCCAAAGAGCCGCATGTGGCTCTGGAGCGGCCGTTTGCAGACCACGGCCCTAGACCCCTGCAGACTGCCCCCAAGAGACAAGGGAAGCCAAGGGGGCTTCTTGCCGGAGGCGGACTGAGCAGGAGCCCGCTGGGCAGCACAGGGGAGGACATTCAGGCAGGGGAGCAGCAAATGCCAGGAGGGAGGGAGAATGGCACAGGCCCAGGCTTCAAATTAGATGCCAAGAGAGGACCCCGGAGGTCCCGGGGAGAGGGGGGATGATGAAGGGGGGTGTGGAAATGGAGAAGGGAGGCTGGGGGGTGGAAATGGTGAAGGCTCCCTGGAGAACCAGCCCTTGAGGACTCCTGTAGCCCCTGGCCCGGCCAGGCTGCCTCCCGCTCCGTCCTCCAGCTTCCCTGGCCACCTGTCCGGCAGCGCCTGGGACCGGGGCCGGGCCGGGGTGCCTCTCTTTAGGGAGTCCTTCTCCGGGGCCGGGGGTCCTGGGACCATGCTGAGCACTTCCCGTCTAGGACCTCCTTCCCTCCTCACACCCCCTCCGCTGGGCAAGGATGGAGGTGCCCACTTTACAGACGTCACCATCCATCTATCCATCCCCCAGCGTTCTGCACTCCGGCCAGGTGCCCAGTGAATCCTGTAAGGGAAGGTAGGGGGAAGCGGGGGAAGATGGAGGGGCGTGAGGGAGCCGGGGAGCCGGGGGGGGGGGGTGGGACAGATGATCACCAAGGCCCTCCGGCCACCCCCAGGACGTTCACGGGCGCAGGGACCATGCCGCCACAGCTGAGACCACGGCTCACCTCACAGGAGAAACACAGTCACAAACCCACCCGGGGTGTGCAGCCCCTGGTCCCCCAGCTAGAACAGGGCAGTCACACACCAACCACTCAACATGCCCAGTGTCGGGAAGGTTTAAAGCAGTGGGAAGCATTCCCCCCCGCCAGGTGGCTCAGTTGGTTAGAGCATCGTCCCCATAGGCCAAAGTTGCTGGTTCAATCCCTGGTCAGGGTACATACAAGAATCAACCAATGAGTGCATAAATAGGTGGAGCAACAAATCAATGTTTCTCTCTCTCTCTCTCCTTTCTTTTCTCTCTCAGTAAAAATCAATAACAATTTTAAAAAGTGATAGGGTGCATATTTCCATAGTCTTGGGTGGGAATGAGGAGACACGGAAGGACAAGCACTGCGGACAAAAAGGAATCCCTTCAAATGCATTAAGGAAACAGCTCCTGTCCCAACGAGTTTGGCTCAGTGGATAGAGCATTGGCCTTTGGACTCAACGGTCCCAGGTTCAATTCCCGTCAAGGGCATGCACCTTGGTTTCGGGCACATCCCCAGTGGGGAGTGGGCAGGAGGCAGCTGATCGATGATTCTCTCTCATCGATGTTTCTAACTCTCTATCCCTCTCCCTTCCTCTCTGTAAGAAAATCAATAATATATATATATATATATATATATATATATATATATATATATATATAATTTTTTAAAAAAGGAAACAGCTCCTGTGATGGCACAAGACAAGTTGTAAAGGAAAAAATGCGTTGCCACATTTAGAGCTTCCTGAGCCCCCGTTTCAACATGAAAGACCCGGTTAAAAGCCTCCAATACCAAGAGCTTTAACAATCAGCAAGCAACCGGCCAGGGAAACACGAAAACCGGTTATTACATAAATGTGCATGAAACCCACAACGAACTCCGCATTCCCGGCCTCACCTGCGAAGGCAGAGGTGCTGCCAGCGGGTGTGGGAGGGAGGAAGGCGCATGTCCACCGGCGCCGCCTGGCGCTGTGGGGGCGTCCGGTGGCATCTCATGAAAGCTGTGTGGGCGGGGTGGGCCCTTTCCCCCTTAGCCGGCCCGGAGGAGGGCGCGGGAGTGCGAACCCGCAGGAGGAGGGCAAACACTAGACGGGAGAGGGGCGGCCGCCTCGGGATCCAGGGCAGGACGGGCGGGACCCTCCGTGCCACCTCTGGTTTCAATGCTTCCACCGGGGGCCCATCCCGTCTACTCTCGGCGGCTCGGGTGGGCGTGGCGCCCTCGCGGCGGCCGCGGGAGGGACCGGAGCTCCCCGGGGCGCGGCCGCGGAGAGATGCTCCCGGCGGCGCACGGGACCCGGTGTCCCCGGGCCCAACGCGGAGGCAGAGACAGGGCGGGAGGACGCGGCCGGGACGCGGCGGAGGGAGCCGCTCCCCCTCCCCGGGGCAGGGTCGGGGGTGCCCAGGGGGCTCGGGCGGCGCTCACCCAGCATCTCCTTCCGGCGCTGCGTGTGCGGCTGGTCGGTGTAGACCCACTCGAAGTCGCTGCGGCCCGCGCTGTTGCCCATGGTGGGCGGGAGCCGGAGCGGAGCGGAGCGGGAGCCGGAGCGGAGCGGAGCGGGCTCGGGGAATGCGCTCCACCTGTCCGTCCGCGCCGCGCGGGGCCGGGTAGTGGCCGGGGGCGGGGCCTGCGGGGCGGGGCGTCGGGCGGGGCCTCAGGGGGCGGGGCCTGCGGGCGGGGCATCAGGGGGCGCGGTGCGCCCGGGACTGCCAGGCCTGGGCGGTGGCACCGGCCCGGAGGCTCAGGGGCCTCAGTCACCTCCGCGGGGAGATGACTCTGAGCCCGCGAGCTTCCGGCCCCCAGAGGCGCTGGGGACGCCGGGCTCCGGGTCCGGGGAGCCCCCTGCGTTCCCCCTGAGCCCCGGCCCCTGGCGCTGCTGCGGCTCCGTCCCACCGCCGCTCAGCGGACAGGAGGGCGCGGCGGACAGGAGGGCGCAGGAGGCAGGAGGGCGCAGGAGGCAGGAGGGCGCAGGAGGCAGGAGGGCGCAGGAGGCAGGAGGGCGCAGGGACAGGAGGGCGCAGGAGGCAGGAGGGCGCAGGGACAGGAGGGCGCAGGAGGCAGGAGGGCGCAGGAGGCAGGAGGGCGCAGGAGGCAGGAGGGCGCAGGAGGCGGAGGGCGCAGGGACAGGAGGGCGCAGGGACAGGAGGGCGCAGGAGGCAGGAGGGCGCAGGAGGCAGGAGGGCGCAGGAAGCTGTGTTCCCTCCCCCCCCCCCCCCCCCGCCTCCTGCCGGCAGGAACGCGGAGGCAGTGAGGTGTCCCTGACGAACTCCCGGCGGAGCCGGCCCCGCCCTGCCTTCGGGGACGCGGGACTCGGGCATCAGGGACAACCAGGGGAGTCTGGTTACAGGGCGGACCTCGGTTAGAGACAGTGTGTGCGCCCAGCTGCTGTGTCTCAGGTTGAGTGTGAACCTACGAACCAGGAGATCTCGGTTGGGCTCCCAGGCAGGGCACAGGCCTGGGCTGCAGGCTCAATCCCATGGAGCAGGGCGTGGGAAGGAGGCAGCCGACCAATGGTTCTCTCACCATGGATGTTTCTCTCTCTGAAATTTAAAAACTAAATTAATTAATTAAATTAACAAATAAAAGAGTGTGTCAAGCCCTGGCTGGGTAGCTCACTTGGTTAGAGCATTCTCCCCATATGCAAAGGTTGTGGGCTCAATCCCAGGCCAGGGCACGTCCAAGAATCAACCAATGAATGCATAAACAAGTGGGACAACAAACCCATGTTTCTCCCTTTCCCTCTCAAATCAGTAAATAAAAATTGTGAAAAACAGAATAAATGACGGTGTCAATATGAGTTGGTTGATTGTAACACATGCAACCATACTCTTATGTGATACTGAAAGAAAGAAAGAAAGAAAGAAAGAAAGAAAGAAAGAAAGAAAGAAAGAAAGAAAGAAAGAAAGAAAGAAAGAAAAAGAAAGAAAGGTGGGAGTAGGAAGCACCTGCACCCAGAGCCCGGCAGGAGCCCCCTCTCTGCCCAGGGCGTGGGCACAGCGCCTCCCAGCCCCTGAGGCCCGCCGGGCAGAGCCACCGCCTGGGGGGAGGTGCTTCGGGACGAGGGAAACAGGGCTGTTGGAGGGGCAACGCCAGACAAGGTCAGAGGATGACCTCTCCCGAGAGACGCAAAAGGCTGTGCTGTTCATAAAGTGAAAAGTCAATAAAGCAGAGATGCACAAGTATAAATTGCTTGTTAAAAACAAAAACAAATAAACAAACAAAAACTAGCCCTGCCTGGGTGGCTCAGTTGGTTGAGCGACATCCTGCTCACGGAAAGGTCACTGAGTTCGATTCCCCGTCAGGGCACATGCCTGGGTCGCAGGTTGGATCCCCGGCGGGTCAGGATGTGTGCGGGAGGCACCCCGTCGGTTTTTCTCCCTCCTCCTCTCCCTTCCTCTCTCTTTAAAATCAATGAAAACGTGTTTTTGAAAGATATTTGTAAAATATGTTTTTATTGATTTCAGAGAGGAAGGGAGAGGGAAAGAGAGTATATATATATAATAAAACTAATAAAAATAAAGAAAAAAGGAAAAAGGGAAAACACATAACCCTCTTTAAAATGAAAGGACGTGAGAGACAAGAGACAGGCCCCCAGGCTCAGCTGGTTGGAGTTGAAGTCGGATCAACCACTGGGATTGATGTATCTCTCTCACATGGATGTTTCTCTCTCTCTCTCTCTCTCTCTCTCTCTCTCTCTCTCTCTCTCCCTCCCTCCCTCCCTCCCTCCCTCCCTCCTTCCCCTCCTCCCTCCTTTCCTTCCTGTCTAAAAATCAATTAACAAAAATAAAATAAAAGGATAAAAGGAAAGCGACAAGGAAGCCAGAATCCCAGCCTCCATCTGATGAAGTTTCTGGAAGGGCAGAGAACGGGGGAGAGGCCCACTGACCCGTCCCCTGCTTGTTTTGTTTACGGAAGTCCTCTCTCCCGGAGATTATAGTTGCCATGTAATTATGTGTAACTATGGCTGTCCTTCTCTGAAATGCCTTATAGCGTGTCTTTACTCACTTGTTGATGGCCTATTCCCTCTTCTAGGGTGTCTGCGCTCTTGGGAGTCACACCTGGCAGCCATACCAGTTTCTGGCAAAGGAGTTGCCCTTAGTAGTGATTTGCTAAATGAAAGAATGTACGTATCCTGTCAAACAAGTACCACGGACACCCCCCCCCCCCCAATCAGAGGAAGGACAGGTGCTCAGGTTGAAGGCCTTGATGCTGCCCCCGACCCACTTGGCTCAAGCCTGGGGCCGGGGCCGGGCCTGCCTCCTGGCACAGGCCGGGGAAAGGACAGCCCGGACCTGGTTTCCTGCCGAGAGCCCGGCCTGGCAGCCGCCTGCCCTCACGGAGCGTGGACGGGCGTCTCACGGTCCCTGCGCACCACAATGGTGTGTGGCCACAAGCAAACACCGCGGCCCACACCCACGCAGTGTGTCACCAGCCTCTTTGTTGCCTGCAATTCTGCTGCTATGACACCTTGGGGCGTCGCTGGGAGCCAGTTCAGAGGCAGTAAATGCCTCACTGGGGAGGTGCCTTCGTGACACACTGACTGGCCAGCGTCCCCCACCTTAGGGCCGGGCCTGGCCCCACACACTGGGCAGACGACTGGAATTAACCTTTTCAAGCAAGCCGGCACGAAGCCTGCTCACCCTCCTCCTGCCCCTTCCCCCTTCCCAGGAAGCCTGGTGAGAGGCTCCGGCCCTGGCGGCCGCTCCTCCCTCTGCTCCTGGCCACCCTGGTGCTGGGGGGCGGGGAAGCCTCCTGGGAACTATACCTAACAAGCCATCTTGTGGATGGCAGTCTCCTCCTGACCTGTTAGTTACATATCCTATCTAATAAAGAGGGAATATGCTGATTGTCATCGCTCCATCACAAAGCTGGCTGCACCCACAGCTGAGGCCAAGTTCCCTTAAAGAGCCTTAACAAGCAATCAGCAGGGACCAGCTATGCCCTCCCCCACCTGGCAGGGCTTGACAGCAGACCTCAGGCCGTGCCCCTCACCCAGCGGGGCTTGACAGGGGACTTCAGGCTGAACCCCCCACCCTGGCACCAGGTTACGGAACCTCAGACCACACCCTTCCGCCCCCGGCCAGCAGGGCTTGACAGGGGACCTCAGGTGCACCCCCAGTGCTGGGTCAGGGGAACTCAGGCCACACTGCCTGCCCCAGCACTGGGCCAGGGGACCTGAGGCTGTGACCCCTGCCTGACAGGGCTTGACAAGGGTGAGACGGATGGATCTGGATCTAGCCCAATTGGGGGGGGGGGGGGGGGTGCTGGCTGGGTCTGGGTCTCCTATAATTTTGAAGTTCCTGTGGATCGGCAGGGACTTGATTCTGGGTCCCATGGTAAGCCCCAGACTTAACAGGAGGAAGGTTTTCATATACATTTTACTAATTTTCTTTCATCTCTGACACTTATATTAGAGAAAGGGCAAATAGCAATATTAAATTATTTCCTCTAATTAATCCCCTTTTAATGTGTATGAATTTAGTGCAGCAGGTCACTAAGTAATTAAATAAGTAATTAAATAAGGCTGGGATTCTGGCTTCCTTGTTGCTTTCCTTTTATCCTTTTATTTTATTTTTGTTAATTGATTTTTAGACAGGAAGGAAAGGAGGGCGGAGGGGAGGGAGGGAGGGAGGGAGGGAGGGAGGGAGAGAGAGAGAGAGAGAGAGAGAGAGAGAGAGAGAGAGAGAGAAACATCCATGTGAGAGAGATACATCAATCCCAGTGGTTGATCCGACTTCAACTCCAACCAGCTGAGCCTGGGGGCCTGTCTCTTGTCTCTCACTTCCTTTCATTTCAAAGAGGGTTATGTGTTTTTCCTTTTTCATCCTTATTTAATTACCTAGCCAGTTTGGCTCAGTGGATGGAGCTTCAGCCTGTGGAATGAAGGATTCTGGGTTCCATTCCAGCCAAAGGCACATGTCTGGGTTGCAGGCTCGATCCCAAGGAGGGGGTGTGCAGGAGGAGCCGATCAATGATTCCCTCTCATCATTGATGTTTCTGTCTCTCCCTCTCCTTCCCTCTCAGAAATCAATAATATATATATATATATATATATATGAATGGAGCCTACACAGCAGGGAGCAGGTGGCTGGCCTCAGACTGGGAATGACAGGCCGCTAGACTGCTGGTGGCTCTGTGAGTGGTTCCCGCGAGTGTCCCTGGCAGCCCGAGGTGCGCGCCCTGCTGGCACCATGGGCACCCAACGTCCCTGCTGCTGCAGCACCTGCCAGGCGGCTGCGATTCCCTCTGAGCAGAGAAAGCTGGGCCTCCCGGGGCCCTGGTCCGAGCCGGGCCCTGCCTGGCTGCCTCAGGGAAGGCTCCCCCAAAGGGGAGGAGTGTGACGTCCTCCTGACCCTGAGCACTAAGCAGTGGGGAACTGAGGTGCCAGCGTGCCATTCACCCTGCCCCCTCCCAGGAGCCCAGCGAGGTGCTGTCACCACAGAGTCCGTGAAGGCACCCACCTCCACAACCGTGGCACCCGCAGGTCCTATGGGAAGGGCCCTGATG